CCGGCCGCGGCTTCCTGGCGGTGGCGGGGCTCGAACCGTCCCTGCAGCGGCCGGCGCCCGCCAGTACCTGTCCGCGGCCGCGCAGGTCCTCGGCCGCAGGGGACAACGCGCTGACCACAGCCGGACGCCGGCCTCGCCGACCCCGGCCGACCCCTTCGCCTCAGCGCGCCGAAGCCCCCGGGGCGCTCGGACGCCGGGACACCAGCAAGAACTTGGGGAGGGCTGGTGCCGGCAGGCGGGGCCGCCCTGGCCCCGTCCCCTCCAGCCGCTACTTTGTCCCCTCAACCGCCTGCAGACCCCACGCCAACGGCGGAGGAACCCCTGCCCGCGCCGTCGAGGCAAGCGACCCGAACGCTGGGAGCCAGGTTCCCATGGAAACCAGCGGGGCCTTTTGCGCATGCTCGGAAGCGCTAGGCACGCTGGGAAGTGTGGTTTCCGGGTTGTCCCCGGGAGGCCCAAGGAACCGACGCAAGATGGCGCCCGAGTTTCGCCGAGTGCGTCCCGCGGCCGTCGGGCGAGGCCGGCTTGGGAGAGGCCGCGGAGGCCTGAAAGGTAGCTTCTCTGGGCAGCCGCGGCTCTAAGGCGTCTGAGGTGCGGGGCGAAGCGGCAGAGGCGCTGGACCCAGGGAGGACGGTGTGAAGATGGGCGCTGCGCCGGGACGGACCGGCTGCCCGCGGGACGGGACGGGAACTCTGCCAAGGAGACCCCGGGAGCTGGGGGCGTCCCGCCCCTCCCTGCGCCCAAGGCCAGCCCCGGGGACAGCTGTGCGGTCAGCGAGCCGACTGGCCAGGAGCCACCCTTCGCACCCCGGAACTGCGCATCTGGAAACCTCGGGTGCGGCTCAGGCTCTGCTAGACGCGGCCGCCACTTCGGCAGCTTGACCGCCTCCCGGGAAGGCAGTGGTCAGCCTGAAGCCTGCCCGTCTGCTCCCGCCGAGTTGCAAGGTGACCACAGCGCGTGGAGGCCGGAGGCCCTTGGAGGTTGTAGCCGGGCATCCCCGTTCCCTGCGACGGGAGGCTGAGCAACAGTGGCGCTGAGTTAAAAATGCTGCAGCCCTCGCTCGGCAGTTGTCGACAGAGGCACGCAGAGGTAGGGTGCCCGTGCGCCTCGGGAAGTGTTCCCTGGGCCGGGGCAACAGGAAGGCCCATGAATAGTGACTGTGCGTCAGCGGAGGGCCAGTGAAACCGACGCTGGGCTTTTTGTAAGGATCTGTTCACTCGTTCGTTTATTCAGAAGGCAGAGTGACAGAGAGAGAGAGAGAGAGAGAGAGAGGGGCCTTCCATCCACTGGGTCACTCCCCAGACGCCTGCCTAGCCAGGGGCCTGGAGCCCCATCCGGCTTCCCACCGGGCTGGCAGGGGCTCAAGCTCCGGAACCTTCCCGTGCCACGGGTGCGCATTCGCGAAGCTGACTCAAGCAGAGCTGGGACTTGAACCCAGGGATCCTTGTCTGGGACGTGGGTGCCCCACGTGGGCTCGTGGTTTTTCGTTTGTTTTTTGTTTTTTTTTTTTTTTTAAGATTTATTTTTGGGGCTGGCGCTGTGACGTAGGAGGTTAAGCCTCCGCCTGCAGCGCTGGCCTCGCGTATTGGTGCTGATTGGAGTCCCGGCTGCTCCACTTCCCATCCAGCTCCCTGCTAGGCACCTGCACTTGGGAAAGCAGAGGCTGGAACAAGTCCCTGGGCCCCTGCACCCACGTGGGGGACCCGAAGAAGCTCCTGGCTCCTGGCTTCAGATCAGCCAGAAGTGTGGAACCCCACCCGGGTCTCCCCATGGGTGCAGGGGCCCAAGGACTTGGGCCATCTTCCACTGCTTTCCCAGGCCACAGCAGAGAGCTGGATCGGAAGTGGAGCAGCCGGGACTCGATCCGGCGCCCACATGGGATGCGGGCACTGCAGGCGGCGGCCTTACCCGCTACGCCGTATTGTTGATGCAAGTGATTCCCTCTGTAGTCTCCATTCCCTTCATGCCAAGTCCCTCCTTGTTCTCATGGATCCTTTCAGCCCACAGCGCTGAGTCCGTGATTGGACCCTGCCTTCCCGGCGATAGGGTGGTGGGCTGGGGTTTCAGGCAGTCCCCGTGTGGACTCAGCAGGCCGGCTCAGGAATCCGAGCTCTCCCTTTACCCCATCGTGTGACCTAAGCATGCCACCGGACAGAGCACGCAGAGGCGGAATCTGAGCAGTGTGCGATGACCGGGGTGTGTGCGTGTGTGTGTCCAGGACTTCTGGGTCTAAGCCCTTTGTTCTACACGATGGCTAGGAGGTTCCAGGTGAAGCAGCTTCAGGTGGTGAAGCGAGGTGGGGACAGCCCCTGCCCCTGGCACTTCTGGGTTCAGGCAGGGCCTGGGTGAGAGGTTTGCTGGGTTTGCTCTGGAAGTTGGGCATGGGGGCCGGTGCTGTGGCGGCGGGTGAAAGCCCTGGCCTGCGGTGCCGGCAGCTGCACTCCCGAAACAGCTGCCTTAGTGTACCTGGGAAAGCAGCGGAGATGACCCAAGTGCTTGGGCCCCTGCACCCACGTGGGCAACCCGGAAGAAGCTCCTGGCTCCTGGCTCCCGCCTGGCCCAGCCGCCCCGTCATTGTGGCCATCTGGGGAGTGAACCAGCGGATGGAAGATCTCTCTGTTTCTACCTCTCTTTCTAACTCTGCCTTTCAAATAAATAAAAAATAAATCTTAAAAAAAGAAATTGGGCATGTCTTCGTCAGCGAGACGTTTGCTGCCAGCTCCTCCCACTGGGGCCTGCTCTGAGGGGAGTGGGGGGCGGATCCACGGACTCTCAAACACTAAGGCCCGCAGGCAGGGTGGGCAGGCTGGCCCGGGCCCTTCCTCCCGGGCAGCAGTGGCGCCTTGGGAAATCGGGTCAGCATCACAGCAGGGAGAAGGCGATTCTGCCAACCCCAAAGTGCTTGAGACCCGGCACCAGGAGGCTCAGAGCCGGCTCGGCTTTGGAGCAGGCTCGGGCTTGTCCGGATAGGCGTGGTGGCGGCGGCGGCTTCCTGGGCAGCTCCCTTCAGCTGTCCCTGCCAACCTGGGGAGGTGCTGGGCACGGGCGGCGCCCTGCCCTGGGGATGGGGAGGTAGCGCTGGCCGCCCCTCCTCCCTCCCCCTCCACCCCAAACTCCGCACTGCCCCAGACAGGTCTGGCAGAGACTCCTGGGCGGCAGTGGGGGAGCCGGGAACACCGACTCCTGAGGACACAGAGAGGCAGGGCTGACACCACAGAACCGGCAGTCGCTTCCTATGAAAATGTTTATTTCTCAGTACAAAGCCAGGTGCTGTAAAGGCTGAAAAACTGGCCAGAGGCCAAGGAGACCAAGAAGACTCCCTGGCCTGGTGCCCTGTGACCCAGTGCGCGGCTGCGGGAGGCCCTTGGTGAGGTGTGCGGGGGAGGGGACCTGCCAGTCCCCTGGGAGGCTCCTGGGGTCAGGGCCTGAAGGCGCTGTCTGCCTTGGGGGCCCCTGGCTCTGGGGCTGGCCGCTGGGCGTTGCGCGGGGCAGGCCTGAGCGCTTCTGTGCTGGGAAGCCCTTTCTCAGCGACTGTGGGCGAGAGCCGCTCCCTCGAAGGCACCTTCGGTCTCTGCTGTGTCCCCCGTTACAGGGAGCGTCCCGAGCCCTTGGGCGTGGGTCTGAGCCTGCGGCCGTGGCGGTGAGGCCGTCACGCGGGGTCTGGGGCCGTGGCGGTGAGGCCGTCACGCGGGGTCTGGGGCCGTGGCGGTGAGGCCGTCACGCCGGGGTCTGGGGCCGTGGTGGTGAGGCCGTCACGCGGGGTCTGGGGCCGTGGGGGTGAGGCCGTCACACCGGGGTCTGGGGCCGTGGCGGTGAGGCTTCCACGCCGGGGTCTGGGGCCACCTGGGGAGGAGCTGAGAGGGATGTGGCAGGTCCACAGGCAGCAGAGCCCTCATCTTCGCCTCTGCTGTCGTCCACGCGGGCCTGCCTCACCACCTTCCGCAGGCGGGGTGTGGAGGACACGCCGGCCTCCACCTGCCCCTGCTCCTGGAAGGCCTGGGTCCGGCTGGCCACCAGGGCAGCGCTCTGGAGGGCGACCACAGACTGGCGGGACTTCAGGGCAGGCCACGGCCTCCTGTGGGCCCACTGGTCTCCCTTGGCCCTCGAGAGCTGAGGGCAGGGCTCTTCGTCTGAAGACTCCTGGGCAGGGAAAACCTAGACAGGTGAGGAATAAGGGGGTCACGGGGGCGTCTCCCCGGGATGAGGGCAGGGCCGGACGGCTGCTGAGCTGAGTGATGCTTCCCGAGGAGGGAAGACGGCGCCCCGCCTGCTGCCCCAGCAGCGCTCCGAACGCCCCGCGCCGCCACTCCTGGAGGCCAGGCCGCGTCTGCTCTCCCTCTCGCCCTGCTGCCTCTGCCTGGTCAGCCCAGCCCGGAGCTGGGCCACGTGGATGTGTGGGGCGGGTTCCTGGGTGGGACACCCAGCGTTGGTGCCCACCCTTCCCACTTCCCTCTCCTTCTGTATCCAGACACCTCCTCCAGGAAGCCCGTCCCACCGTCCCTGCCCCGAGGACTCATTCCTCAGGACGTTCGTCCCTGTGTTGGCGTGGGGCCCGGCTGCCCCAGGCGCCTGTGCTCCTGCTGCTAGATGAGTCAGTGCTCAGCCCTCCGCCCGGGCCCCTCAGGCGTGGGAGGGGCTTCAGAGGGCCCCTTCCCCACCCCCGTGCTGTGGGCTGCAGAGCGGGTGGCCTGGGGAGGATGCCCCTGCCCCTTAGCGCTGCCCTGGCCTGGGCAGGGCTGCTTCTTGCCCCCGCTCCAGTGCCTCCACCTGCCCCTCCTGGGTCTCCCGAGCTTTTCTGAGGGGTGCTGGGTGCTGGGGGACAGTGTGAAGCAAGCAAAGACCCGGGGTCCTGACCTCTCAGCAGACCCTGCCAGCGGGGGGAGGGGAGACCCGGTCAGCCACTGCCCAGCCCAGCCCAGCCTCACCTCTGGCAGCTCGCTGTCCCCCAGGACACCCTCCAGCTCAGAGGGGGGCTCCAGGAGACTGATGGATCGCATGACCCCGCGGAGGTTGATGCGGGGCCGTGGCCCTGCCTGGCTCTCCTCCAAGACCAGAGCCTTCGCCTCCCCGCTGCCCCCTGGTTCTGGCGGAAGGGGCGGTAATGGTGTAGAAACTTCGGGAGCCAGGGGCTCCTCCAGGGAGGCCCCACCCACTTTCTGCTCCCAGATGTGGCTCTGCCGGCTGCGAGGAGGGGGCTCTGAGTCAGCTCTGAGGGACCCAGCAGCCACCCCAGCACACAAAGCACTCCCCACGACCCCACTCCGTACCTGGCGGTCAGGATGCCCTGGTAGGTTTGCAGCTGGCGCAGGAAGCCGGGGTTGGGGCGCACGACGGGCCGGAGCTCCTGCACGTGGCGCAGGGCCTGCTCCAGGCTCCAGCTGTACTGCTTCATGGCGTAGGCCACCACCGTGGCGGCTGAGCGGCTGACGCCCATCTTGCAGTGGACAAGCACGCGGGTGCCCTGCGCTCTGTGGAGGCGGGGCGTGAAAGCGGGGTGCCCCACGCGGAGGCACGGGTTGACAACAGCCAGAGCAGAGGGCAGGGAAGGCAGGGCCACCCAGGGCCAGGGCAGGGCTGGGGCAGGGTGGGCAGGGGCAGAGCGGTGGGGCGCTGGCCTGACCTGGCATCCTCGATGAAGCGGTGCGTCTCCTTCCAGTGCGGCAGCAGCTGTGCCGACTCCTCATCCCAGAGGCGCACGTTGTGGTAGGTGAAGCGCTCGGGGTAGAAGTTGTCGATCTCCCGGGCCATGTTCAAGATGTGGCTGACCCTAAACCAGAGGACGCAGCACGGCCTGGGTGTTTCTGTCGGGTTCTCGGTTCTGAGAGGTGGGGGCAGCACTTGGGCTGGGAGAACTGAACCAGCAGTAGGAGACTGTGTCCATGAGAACATGACTTTGCCTGGCTGGCCTTGAGTTTGCCAACCTAGTCCACGCAGCTGAGGCCACCTGCAACACTGGCCCTTGGGTATTCTTGGAAATGAGCCAGAGAACTGCCTTTTTTTTTTTTTTTTTTTTTTTTGACAGGCAGAGTGGACAGTGAGAGAGAGAGACAGAGAGAAAGGTCTTCCTTTGCCGTTGGTTCACCCTCCAATGGCCGCTGCGGCCGGTGCACCGCGCTGATCCGATGGCAGGAGCCAGGTGCTTCTCCTGGTCTCCCATGGGGTGCAGGGCCCAAGCACTTGGGCCATCCTCCACTGCCTTCCCGGGCCACAGCAGAGAGCTGGCCTGGAAGCGGGGCAACCGGGACAGAATCCAGCACCCCGACCGGGACTAGAACCCGGGGTGCCGGCCCCGCAGGCGGAGGATTAGCCTAGTTAGCCGCGGCGCCGGCCGAGAACTGCTTTTCAGCTAAACTGAGAGTGGCAGGGTGACAGGGGCCGGAAGAGGGTGGGCACCTGTCAGAGCAGACAGCCAGGTCCCCGCTGCTCCCCGGAGACAAGTCAGGCGGGGGGAGACGGCCATCGCAGCAACGCACACTGCTGCCCCCATCTCGGCCTGGGCAAGCCCCCGTGTCTGCACCTGCTCCACAGCATGGGGCATAGATAGTGGGCAAGGCTGGCCTGCTGGGCAGCAGGGGCAGCGGCGGCTGAGGGAGGGGCTCCTGATGTCCCCAGGCTGCCCCTAGCGGGGAAGAGCGGGTGGGCTCCTGAGGGGCTCGGAATCTCACCTGTTTCTCTGCAGCTCCTCCAGGTTCGCCGCATTCCACTCGGAGCCCTGTGGGGAAGGAGGCGGTGTCCCTCCCGTCCCTGCCGCAGCCCCGGCTCTGCCGCCCAGCTGGCCCGTCCTCCCCGCGGCGGCAGCTCACCAGGTAGAGGTGCGGGAAGATGCGCGAGGCCCTGTCCTGCTGGGCCACAAACAGCAGCATCTGGTTGTCGATGAAGTCGCGGTACTGCTGGAGGGGGCAGCCCAGGCGCTGCTCCAGGGCCTGGCGGATCTGCAGCGGAGCCCGGGGCAGGAGAGGCTTGGCCTGGCCCTGCACGCTCCGACCGCCCCTTCCCGCTGGGGTCCCGAGCACAGTACCCTGCCCCATCTAGACAGAGGCCAGGAAGAGCGAGGAGGGGAGGCCTCCGAGGAGAGGCAAGCTCACGGTTCTGGGCTGCGGCTCCCTGGCTCCCTGCCCACCTCCTTGGAAGTGATGCTCTCCAGGTCACTGGCGTCCAGCAGCTTCCACAGCTCGGCCCGGATCGCCTGCTCCATCTGCTGCTGTTCTAGGGGCCTGGGCACGAAGCCCTCAGCAAGGGCTCCCTTCCCCTCCACCATGGCACCCCCACCTTTCCCTGCCCCTCCCTGTCCACCTTCCACCTCGGCCTCCCCCACTGACCGGCCAGGCTCAGCGCTGGGAGGCCGCAGAGACTCCAGGTCGGCCATGGCCATCCACTCATTGAGGCTGCCCTGGTCAGAGTCCAGTCTCTCCTGGTAGTGGGTGGCCCAGGCAAGGGCACTTCCACCAGGCACGAGGCCGCCACCCAGAGCCGCCTCACAAGCTTGGTGCAACACCTGGAGCGTGGCCCTGTGCGGGAGGAGAGAAGGGTGACTGTCCTCCTCCTGCCTCCCCCAGACCCAGCAGCCACCTCCCAAGATGCTCACCACATAGTCTGGATGGAAATGGGCTTGAAGATGCGGCTCTGCCCCCCGGAAGTCACGCTGAAGCCCCTGCAGGAGACCAGGTGGGAGTAGGGCAAGCTCTGGGCCCGTGACCAGGAGCACAGAGCGAATCCAGGCAGAGCCAAGAGGGGCCCCAGGCTCCCCGCCCAGAGCTGTGCTGCTGCAGTGCCGGAGCCTCCCGCCCCTCCCCCCAGCTGCCACCTCTTACCCATCTCCGTCCAGGTACACCTGGGTGTCACTCCAGAGGGGCAAGACCAGGCCCAAGGTGCAGCTGGGGGAGCTGGCAGGGAACAGAAGGAGCGCTGTAGCCCCCCAGCGCCTCTCTTCCCTGCCCCCCTCCTCCCCAGCTCCCACCTGCTGTCCGGAAAATCCACCCCCAGGAGGACGGTCTCATCCTGGCTTGGAGGTTCTCGCGTGCAAACCACCAGCAGGTAGCGGAGCCGCGGGGGCCGGGCCGCCTCCAGCTGGGCCGCCTGGGGAGGGTGGGGGAGAGGCCCAGCCTCAGGTGCCTGGGGGGACCCTGCTCCCCCACCCCTACCCCGCTCTTCCAGGCTCAAGGTCAGGGACAGCAATCCAGTAGGTCCCACAAAAATGCTCTCAAGGCTCCTTCGTGAGGGGAGACTACAAGGACAGCGGGGGAGGCGGTTCTGAGGAAACGCCTGTCACTTGCCTGTCCCCCCACACTGTCACCACAGAAACGAGGGCCTCGCTTCACAATAAAGGACTCGCTGTCCTAGGGGTGACTGCCCGCGACACTGCTCCTCGCTCTTCCCGGCCCGCCACGCTGCAGCATGGCCACAGGCGGCCCTCACCGGGTGCCCACCCCGAGGGCCCCCGCGTGCAGTGCCCAGCGCTTGGCCCTGGTGTGGCCCAGCTGCCTGCTCCCAGCACGCACCCTGCTCAGTCTGCAGCTGCAGCAGCGGGGGCGGGCGGCCCACACTCAACCCCACCCTCACACCCTGCCCCCCTGGTGTGCACCCACACACCCCTGGGGGCCCCTCGCCCGGGAGGCTCTGGCAGGGCCCCTCACCAGGCGGATGTCGTCCTGCGGCCTCAGCAGCTCCACCATGAGGTGCAGGTGCTGCCTCTGCGCCTGTTTCTGGGGTCCGTGCCCGTCGGTGTGGTCCCCGTCGGTGTGCTCCCTGTGGGGCTGCTCCTCACCCAGCTCCAGGCTGGCCTCTGAGGCGGCATTGTCCCCGTCATTGTCCCCGTTGTCTTGCAGTCCCAGGACTGCCCCGCGAAGCACTGCAAAGCTCTGCCTGGGTGGGGTGTGCGCCCGCGTGTTACAGAACCCCTCTGGCAGCCCCTTCAGCCCTGGCTTGCAGCCCCACCCCAGGTCCACAGGCGCCCCTTCCCTTCCCACCCGCCTGACTTGGGAGATGCTGAGAACTTGGCTGGGGACCCATCCCACCCTTTGGCCTGTGACCCCTGGTGCGAGCCCAGACCGGTTCCACCGCAAGCCAGGGTGCCCACCAGCCCAGCCCCGGGCCGCAGGGAGCTGGCTGCCAGCTCTCCTGTGAGGCTTCCTGCCGGACACTGGCGGTGGCGGGTTTCTGCCTCGGGAGAAGGGTGCTCACCTGCGCTGGAGCCTGCTTCTCTGCTTGCTGGCCCGGGCCTGCGGAGAAAGCAGCCCCCAGGGGGAGTGGGCAGGGAGCACTCCTGGGGTGGGGGGCCCTTCCGGGTCGGGCAGAAAGGGTGTCAGACGCCAAGTCTCTCCACACACACACCCCGGCTGTGCTCTCCGGGCAGGAGGGCTCCCGGGGAGCCCCAGCCCCAGTCCAGGCAGGGCAAGGGGTGGGGTTCCTGGGCGTGGGCGGGGTTAGCCCAGCTCGGGCCTCCGCGGACCGGACAGGGCTGGCCTCTGGATCTGCCTTGGTAGAGTTTCTGGGAGCCTCAGACCACCCCCTCCAGCCCCCCTCCCCCCCAGCCTGAGACTCAAGCTCCTTCCCGGCACACACCAGGCTCCAGGGGAGGCTGCCCCGCGGGCAGGACGTGGTCCCCCAGGCCCAGCCGGCAGCCAACTGCGTGGGCGCGATCGCAGCCGGGCAGACTCACCGTGGGCCCCACAGGCGTGGAGTGGCCGCTGGCCGGGGGCGAGCGGCTCACTGTGACCAGGGCCATGGGGCCAGGCCGGGGGCACCTGGGCGGGCACCGGGCACGGCCTCCTCCCACAGCCCCACGGACAGTCCCTGCCCCGCAGGACCAGGAAGGAGAGAACGGAGCCGCCAGGACCTGGCACCTCCTCGCGGGCGGTCCTTAAAGGGCCAGCCTCCCGCCCAGCCAGGCCTGCGGAGCTGGCACGGATCGGCCGGCGCCCCTCCCGTCCCGTTTCGCCGGTTCGGCCCGCCTCGCCCGCCCCCATTCGCCTGGGGGCGTGACGGAGGCGGGGCGCAGGTGCGGAGCCCAGACCTGAAACTCGTTCCTGGGTTCCTTGTTTCTCCCAGGAGGCGCCCGGAGCGCTCCCGGCGGCGCTGTTGGATCACCTGAGCTGTTCTGAGCCCCAACCTGTCCGTTACCCAGGGGACATAGGTCTGATGATGCGTCCCAGAGGGTCTGACGCCTGGGGACCCCCCCTCGCCCCCAATCGACTCCTCCTGGCTGGGGGCCGTCTTGCTTACACAATCACCGGGAGGGGCGCAAGCTTCAGAGGAAATGGCCCCCGGTTCAGAACTAACCCAGGACACTCACAGGCGACTGAGGCCCACCTGGAGAGGAGCCGGGCAGGGCAGACCCCCCCCACACACAGCGGGTGCACAGGGAAGTGACTTGTTCCTGGCAGCCAAGGTGGAGTCAGGGCAGGGACCTGGCTTGGGCCGCGGGATGGGGGCTGTTCCCAGCACTGTGAGTGCCCGGTCCAGGGGCTCAGCCTTCCCCTCTCCTGGCAGGTGCCTGGGCCAGGTCCCAGTTCAGGCCCAGAGGAAGCTGGCTCTCTAGCAGGTGGGCCCAGCTCAGAGGAGTGGAGGCTCCCTAAGGACGCCTGACCCAGGTGGGACCCCTCCCCTCATGGTGAGGCGGGGGTGGGGGTGGGGACAGGAGGCAGCCCAGCAGCAGCCCATTGAACAGAGGACACCTGCTGCCCACAGTCTCTTTATTTCTGTCTCTGCTCGCGGCTGGGCCCACCCCCGGGGTGCCAGGCAGTTTATAAATAAACAGGTTACAAAGGCAGGCGACCCCGGGGGGCTGCGGCTCAGTGCTCGGTGAGCGACAGCTGCAAGACCCGCTGCAGGTCGTCCTCCTCCTGCTGCCCCTGCCGCTGCCGCTCCTCCTGCTCGCGCGAGGACAGCTCCAGGGCCAGGCGAAGCTGCTCCTCAAAGCTTGGGGGGGCCGGGGCTGGGGGCGTCCTCTGGGGGGATCCTGGGCCCCAGGGCTCTGTGGACAGCCGCAGGCTTTCCTGGAGGGCCCTGCCAGGCAAGGGGTGAGAGGGAGACTGCTAGGGGCTGCGGCCGGGGCAGGGGCCAAGACAGGTGGCAGGCAGGGGCAGCGCTGCTGGTGGATGGTCGCTGTGGAGACTGCTTGGGGTCCCGGGACCAGGGCCTCCCTGCTCCCCACCCTGCTGCCACGGCCACGACGGGGGGCTCGAGGCAGGGCTGGGGCAGGGTCCGGGGGTCCCATCAGGGCCTCACCGCTCCAGCTGGAGCTGCTCCTCGTAGACCGTGGCCTGGGGCAGGGGGTGGGTGCCCGGCCGTGCGTTGGTCAGTGCCTCCCAGACAGTGACCTGCAGCAGCAGCAGAGCCCAGAGCTGTGGCCCAGGCCCGGCCCGGCTGCAGCGCAGGGCCCGCCCCCGCCGCTGTCCCGCCGCTGTCCCACCTGCTCGGCCTCCGTGCCTGCCTCGAGCAGGCTCTGCTGGATGGCAAACTGCAGCAGGTGGTCGTCCTCGTCACGGGGAGGCTCGCTGCGCTCGGCGCCCAGCACGCTGTACCCCGCGGGCACCTCAAACACGCTGGGGTCCACCTCGCACGGGAAGGGGCTCCCTGCGTGGGCAGCACAGCGGCCGTGCTGGGCCTCGGAGGGCGGGGAGCCGCACAGCCCCTGCGGCCTCCTGGGCAGTACCTGTGGCCGAGGCGGCGGCGGAGGGGCTGGGGGCCGGCACCCACACCGAGCTCAGCGGCTCGTCACAGCCGCACAGGTTGCTAAAGGTGATGCGGGCGTTGAGCACGTGGAAGAGGGGAATCTCTGTGGGGAGACGGCCGGGCGTGACCCCCTGCGGCCCCGTGGCGGCCCAGATCCCCCCACCCCGCGTCCCTGGTCCCCGCTCACCGATCTTGACAGGGAAGCCAGGTGGGAGGCGCAGCGTGATGAAGTCGCGCAGCTTGGCGAAGTGGGCGTTGCTGATAGCCATGAGGTCGATGATGGGCGTCACCTGGTCGCCCAGGGACAGCGGGTGCTCCTCGCTCAGCCACAGCGTTGCCTTGAACCTGCCGGGCCGACCACAGCACGGGGGGTTGGGGAGCTGCTGGCGGCCTGGGCTTCCTCCTCCCTGCTCGGGGCCCTGCTGCCTCTCCCGGGAGCTGCCCACACCCCGGGCCGTTGCAGCTCACGACGGTGGTTTTGTGCCAGTTCA